CTTTCGCTTCGATTTTCACGTTACACCTGATCCTGCATCTTGATTGGTCAATCAGGGGTAGCGATGCATCGCACTGGCGATGAATTACAACTCTCAAAAAAAAAAAGATCAAAATATCAAAATAAAAAAAAAAGATCGAAGTAAAAAAAAAAGATCGAAAATAATTCTGCTAGTACGATTGGCTGCTAAACGCGTAATATATTTTTGTTACACGACTATTCAAATAAAGCGTTACATCCGGAAAATGCACAAACTACGTTTTTGATAATTTTACTATAAATGTATCAAAAACGTAATTTCGGTTATCAAAGGACGTAGAAGTATAAGTCTGTCGCTTCGCTCCAGACAATAAATATATACCTATTATATATTATTTAAGATATTTAGTATATTTATAAATTTAATAAAAGTTTTATTTTAAATAAAGTATTATCTAGCTTATTTTAATTTAACTAATTAAAAAATATTAGTTATATAGATTTTTTATATTAATCTTCAAAATAAATATTTAAATATAGAAAATATATCTTTAATTAGAATATATATAATAGCTATTGGTTTTTGATCTTTTTTTAGTTTTATTTAATATTTCATAAAAACTATTTTTTTTTAAATCTGCATTATGCAATTTAAAATCTTTACTAGAATCTAATTTAAAATAAAATAAAAAATAATAGTTTTTTTGTATATTTTTTAATTCTAGAATTAATACTTTTTTAGATTTTGTATTTTAAAAATTAAAATTTTAGCTAGGCCTAACCTAAAATAAAACAAAAATATTTATTTTTTAGCTTTAAACTAATACTTTATTTTTTTAATTTAGTATAAATATTTATATACTTGAAATAGCTTATTTAAATACTTAGATTAAATGTTTTATACTTATATACTACATTAATATGAATAAAATATAGTTTAATAGTAAATATTCACGAACTTGAAATAACTTATTTTAAATATTTAATAAATATTTTTATATTCACCTTCTAAATTAACGTGAACAAAATTAATTTAAATAATAAATATTCATCAATTATATAGCTTATTTTAAATACTTTGATTAATAAATGTTTTTCTTTATATCTACATGCTAAAATAAAATTAAATATTAATATTTATAAATTTGAATTCATGAATTTGAATGGCTTATTTTAGATTAATAAATACATATTGACCAATTTAACGTGAATAAAATGAATTGAAGTTATTATTTATACTTTCATATTTGATATAATTGTTATAATGCTTACTTTCTAGAGAATTAACCATTTTAAGAATTTTCAATTTCAAATAAAATTCAAATACATTAACATATGTGCTGTGTTCTGAGAAAAGAGACCAAATTGAAATTTTTTCAAAAAAAATTTTATGCTTAACTAATCCTTTTTACTAAGAAATAAATTATGTTATCTTAATAAAATTTCTGCAGTATAACTATTTAAAGTTTGTATTTTTTTATAATTCATTATAAAATTTATAATATAAAAATCAATTTTTCACAAAACTTTTTTTTTGCCAATTTGGTCCCTTTTCTCTGAAAACAGCTCATATAATTAACAAAATAACTTGATGATCCAAACTTGGTACCGTAAATCGCCATATACAAGACCCCCTTGATAGTAGACCCACCATGTAGTATACCGGGTGCGAATCACGTTATTTATATTAATCAAACGTGAGTTTTTTATATCTAGACTGCCTATTATAGATGCAAAATGATCATACTCTTCGAAATTTTTTTCTTAATGATATGAACTCTTGACTGTACACTAGACCGGGTTTATTATGGATTTTAAAATTGGTGGAATGTAAGAGACCTGGGTCTTGTACATAGCGATTTACGGTATTTTTTATCGTTTCTTTCCACTCCAACTCCATAATAATAACAAATGGCAATTTTAAAAATTCCCATAAAATTATCAGCCTCAGCTGATTTCAAATAATGCATAAATGCTTTCTTCTTATCTATTTTTATTCTAATTCCTAAATAATAGCAGTAACCAACTTGATGCATTTCATTCATCTCTGTAGATTTTGAATGCTTTATTCTCATCCTTTTATACTCCAATCCCATATTCGTAACAATAACCAAGCCAGAATATGTCGTCTAAATCATTCATATTTACTGGTTAATGAAATTCAATTGATTAAAATATTGGCAATCTTGAGTAATCCATTTGATAAGTTTCCATAAGAAAGGTCAGGTGATAAATACACTCAAACAGTGTCGGTAGATATGTTCATACCAGATACAGCTCGAAAACCACGAGCACAAGTATTTTAATAGTACTGTACGTACAAATTACGAATAAATATATTAACGTTAAGGAAGATCTTTACTACTGTAAAGACTTTTTTTTTTGATAACTTATTAACCATCGAATCATTGATCGAGTGGTATCGCGCTACTTTGCCACGATCTTATTTAGGAAATAGGCTAGGGCCAGGGAAATCACCATTTACTTTCGAATGGGAATTGTCCTAGCCCATTTCTCATTTAAAGGGTATTTCATTACATCGTTACGTGACAAATATAGTTATCTATTATCTGTTATGTATATCAGATATCTTGTACGTACGTACGTACGTAAATAATATGGTAATTAGATAGACAATATTTAAAACTTCATACATTAATACTGATCATTTAGCATTTATTAAAATTTCAATTACAAGTGTAAAAATAAACATTTTCCTTGATAAAAAATAAATAATACAATAAAATAAAAACATAAAATAAAATGAAAATATTCTCTGATAAAAATTATCTAATAATAGGCATATTTGCATAATTTCACACTACTACAAATTTTATAAATTCTACTACTATGAACTACATGGGCTACGACTTTTTTATGTTTATAAACTATAGGAGATTCTAATAAATAAACATTACCATCAATTTGAATCGGACTTGAAATATGATGACTTTGAATGATTGTTGCATCTGAACTTTGAATTATAGATCGTCGATTATTAGTGGGGTTATCTGAATGAGCGGAATTATCGGAGTTAGTGGGTTCAGCATATGAATCTTCAGGATTCAATTGAGATTTGTGAGGATC